TGGTTAGTAGAATTATGCCTGCTCCTAGTTGGCTAGTTAGCTCAATTGGTAGAGCGCTGCACTAGTATCGCAGAGGTCAGTGGTTCGAATACCGTACAGGCCTGATTTTTTTCAGGTCTGATTTTCGCTATCGCATAAATAGCGCTCTCTACTGCGAGGATCGTGCATCATACATATGTTAACACTGCGATAAAAATTTTTACTCATATCAGTGTGAATTAATGGAGTGGTGTCAGAGACAACTTTAGGCATTTCTACATGTTCACATGTAGTTCTTTAGTTAGCAATCAGTTATAGAATGAGCTTAAATAAACCATGAAAAGTCAAGAGAAGCCATGGATAGGCAAACTGGAGGGTATTGACCAAAGGTACTGTAGTTGGATAATCTTGAAATGTGCTACAAGTGATATTATCTTGTCATGTTTCTACAATTCTACAGTGCTTGTTCTATATGTGCCATATGTTTTGTCTTCGAACTACATGTTGTACAAGCTCACACATGACTTGTGTGAATAAGATTTCCCAAGAATGTACATGTACAGGTATTTCTCTCCAAAATTAGCTAGATAAACTATTATCTGTGGTGAAATTGATCAAATTAATAATCGTTTATTCCTTTCTCAGATTTCACAGTTGAGCAGCTATGCATTTATATCATTGTTTAAACAAGATTCAGTAGGAACTGTTTCCCTTCAGGTATGCTTGCATGATTATCGTGAGGTATAATTATGCATTTTACAGGTTTTGATTTGTGCCAATTTTGCAGGTTGCCCCCACTGCTAAAATTTAAGGTCTTGCCGAAATGTAGATGTATCCAACCTAATCAAATGCTGCAAGACTTTGTTTGATAGGATAGGGTTTTTGTATGGTTTTGTTGTACGTGTGTTGAGCAGAAGGTATTACATGTACCGGTACTCTCTGGGAATTTTAAAAAGTTCAGCAAAACATCTTTAATAATTTGAATGGGCAAATTAATGCTATTAGACAATGTTAATACAAAACTTTCAGCAATGCTGCCTCAATGGAAAGTGCTGTGAACAATTTCAAACTGACAGGGGTCTTCAAATCCTTGTAAGAATCCTTTGGAATGGAAAATCTACAAAATAATGTACTTGTTTGTACATGAATACATTCCTAAAAACTTTGTCTAACTCTGTGTTTACTCAATTTGTCAGGCTGTCCGAGTAATCAGTAAATTTGTAAAGAGTAAAGGATTTCGAGTTCAACCCTCTGTAAGTACATGTGATTGAACTTAATTTTGTTTATTGCCAGTTCCCTTCCTTCACAGTTCCATCATTTTAGTCCCTTCACTCTGTACATGTAGCTACACCCTTGGACCCCCTTCTCCCCTGTAGCTACACCCTTGGACCCCCTTCTCCCCTGTACCTGCACCCTTTGACCCCCTTGTCCTGTAGTTCTACATGTGGTAGTTTAACTCTTGGGTCCCCTTCTCCCCCTGTAGCGACACCCTTGGACCCCCTTCTCCCCTGTAGCTACACCCTTGGACTCCCTTCTTCCCTGTAGCTACACCCTTGGACGCCCTTCTCCCCTGTAGCTACACCCTTGGACCCCCTTCTCTCCTGTAGCTGCACCCTTTGACCCCTTTCTCCTGTAGTTCTACATGTGGTAGTTTAACTCTTGGGTCCCCTTCTCCTCCTGTAGCGACACCCTTGGACCCCCTTCTCCCCTGTAGTTGCACCCTTTGACCCCTTTCTCCTGTAGTTCTACATGTGGTAGTTTAACTCTTGCGTCCCCTTCTTCCCCTGTAGCGACACCCTTGGACCCCCTTCTCCCCTGTAGNTTTAATAGTAGTTAAATTAGGAATCCTATATAGCCAATTTAACTGTAATATGTAATTATTATTTTTTTTAAATTAGATGAGATTTTAATCTTTAGAGATATCAATTGTAAAGCGCTATTGATCTGTTATTGTAAATAGCGCTATTTAAGAAATAAATTATTATTATTATTATTATTATTATTATGAGAAGAAATCTGCTGTGGAACTGAAGATTGAGAAAAACAAGAATCCAATGGAGAAGAAGTTGAAAGGAAAGATCTCAAAGAAAGAGAAAAAGGTGCGTTCAATTCAGTTTTCTTTTTCCGAACGATGTGTTCGTTGGAGTAATTTAAGAGGAAAAAAATCACTTCACTTTGAGTTTTAATTTATTTGTATTTGTTGAGATGTATACCCCAGGAGATGCCCAAAGTTGTAAAAATATTAGCGACACGCGTGTCTACAGCCCGTGTGCCCCTTTTTTTAAACCCTTTAACTCCCATGAGGGATCAAGACAAAATTTCTGCTTAAAATCGATACAATATCAAGCAGACAAGTAACTCGAGCAAAGAAAATATGAGTTCTAACACACCGCTGGTAGCCATGTCAAGCTGACCGCCGCAACCTGACCTTTATTGCAAGTTCAAAGCTATTACAAGAAGCATACGCTAAGACCGGAAATAACGAAAAATGTTCCAGGCTAGTACATTATACTGGTATTGTATAAACACTTAAAATCTTTCGGTGAGTGGGCGGGAAAGTCGAAAATGGCGTACGCAACAAAACAACTGCTCGCCCCATAGGTCACATGACCTATACCCAGGCCCCAGCGGCGTGTGAAAAAAACATTTTTCACTTGTTTCGTTCCACTCGGCCAGTGAAAAATTACTCTTAGGGTACTCCTATATTCCTGCAGTTGATCCAAGAACAAATTCTCCAAACTAACTTTATATGAATTGTAAGGCAGAGAGTAAGGAGAGCTACTAATGAAATCTTGGGGGTGAGAAGGTTATCTGAAATGACTCAGTGGGAAATGAATGCAATTTTTTAGATAAGGAAAAAAAAAGGGGGGCTTTTCATGACATCCTCTTCGCATCCAGTATCTCGCACGCAATTTTCCCTTTCGTAAAACGGTCGTTGCCATTTAAAACGGTCATTGCTATTTTGAAACGGTCGTTGCCATTTGTCGAAACAGTCGTTGCCATTTTGTAATGAATGACAACGACTGTTATCGGAAATGGCAACGACCGTTTCAAAATGGCAACGACCGTTTCAAATGGCAACGGCCGTTTACGAAAGGGAAAATTGCATCTCGCGCATGCGTCAGGATCATACACCAGTGCATAAACACTATATGAAATCCTGGTTTTAGTTTCATTAGAGTATGGCACATCTGCCGTTGGATTTTTAAACAAGTTGCACATTAAAAAAAAGAATACTTATTGTTGTGATATAACTTAATACGTCTACATCACGGTCTTTACGTGCAGCGAAAGAGAGAAATGAAAAAGTTAGAGAAAGAAATGCAAGAAATCTCTTTCTTCTGCAAGAAACTGAAGCTGTTGAAAGTCAACAGAAACGAGCCAAGTTGGTAGGTGTGAAGTTTGCTTTATCTTCCTAGAACTGTTTTTTCTAGCATCGTCGTGAATATATCGCGAAGTTGGTTATCCACGTGAAGCATCGACGTTGTGTCGTTGTGAATTTCAAAAAGCGGAATTTTCAAGCATGAGCCCTTTGGTGTAGTTGTTGTAAAGTTCTATCTGTTGAAGCCATGAGATCGAAACTTTCCTGGTGACAACACACTCTAGTCTCATTAAATCTTAGCCTTTGCGTTTCTCTATTATGTTTGCCGCCATGGTCTCGCTATAATGATACTTGTAAGATTGTAGCATTGTCAAGTGGGTTAAACTATGCTCTGTTGGTACACACAGAGGGGCTCCGGTCCTACAGCGTGCTCTGACCCGGAAGCACATCCCTTCGTATGTCTCGGCCTTCATAACGAACAAGCTTAGTCCATGGTAGAGCATTTGAGACTTCCTGGTATAAAAAGTTGTCATTGATTCGCTGACTACTTGGCTGCAATGGCGTAGAATGATAGTTCGGTGTGTTTGTAACCACAGTCTGCTAATTTTTCAACCCACGAGGAACTCACGATTCATAATCACCTTTAACGTCAAGACTTATCGATTAACCGTGACGTGAGAATAGGCGTATACCCTTGGTTATCAGTTGAGGGGGCCAGTTGGTGTCGTTACGCATATTTAGAGGTAAGAGGGGGAAAGGGAGGGGGAGGGGGAAAGGGAGGGGGAGGGGGAAAGGGAGGGGGAGAGTGAAGGGGAACAGCTACCGTCGCTTCTCGTGCGTTCTTCGGGGTGTTGGTAGTGGACTACACATTCTAACAATCACACCGAAGGAAGAACTCAAAGGGGTCTCTTTTGGGAAGTATATGTTAACTCGAGAAAGCTGTATTTTTGCTGCTTCAGCTAGAACAGAAGCTGGAATGCTTCCTTGCTGTTTCAACCCCTACTTATTTTGGTATTTCCTTCTTATATTTATATGTCTGTTTTCGGTTTTTCCATTCAAGGAAGTAGCAGTGAAGATGTTCCAGTGGCATTGCAGTGTCTGGAAGAAATGTTAAAAAAGCGACGCAAGCAGGTAGTCAGTCGCATTTATCAGAACATTGGGTACAAATGTTTGTGCGAATTTGTAGTTACCACGGGAGTTAGTATAAGCTAGTGTCATAGATTGACTCGTGGACCTTAAAGGTTGAAACATGTGAGGAAACAATTCTTGAAAAAAATTCTTTTATATTAGTTTATTTCATTTCAATCGGCATAATAAAATCTGTCTGATTGTTTAGTTGATTGATTAATTGCCAGATTGATGGTTTTTGATCAGCACGGCAATTAGGGTCGATAGCTCATTGCAGCTTTTAACCTCGAGTATGAAATCCTGGTTTTAGTTTCATTAGAGTATGGCACATTGGCCGTTTGATTTTTAAACAAATTGCACATTAAAAAAAAGAATACTTATTGTTGTGATATAACTTAATACGTCTACATCACGGTCTTTACGTGCAGCGAAAGAGAGAAATGAAAAAGTTAGAGAAAGAAATGCAAGAAACTGAAGCTGTTGAAAGTCAACAGAAACGAGCCAAGTTGGTAGGTGTGAAGTTTGCTTTATCTTCCTAGAACTGTTTTTTCTAGCATCGTCGTGAATATATCGCGAAGTTGGTTATCCACGTGAAGCATCGACGTTGTGTCGTTGTGAATTTCAAAAAGCGGAATTTTCAAGCATGAGCCCTTTGGTG